AGAAGAGGGGGGGGCAGCAGCGGCGCCGCGTCGCGACAGAAGCGGCGCGTCGACAGCGGGACGGGAACGACGGCGGGACGAGCAGCGGCAACAGGGCGGCGAGCAGCAGCAGAGGCAGCGGCGGCGATGGCGTTGGCGGGGGGGAGAACCCCGGAAGAAGAAGAAGAAGAAGAAGAAGAAGAAGAAGAGGAAGAGGAGGAGAGGGCACGAGGTCGTTTCTGGCCCACGATTTGGGCAGGGGGGGAAACGCGAACGACTATGAGTCAGCAGTGCCTTAGGAAGCTGAAGAACAGATAAACGAGGCCAAGTTCGGCGAAGGTGTAGGAGGATGTGCGAAGAACTCACACTCGGGACTATCACCATCGTTGTCCTCTACACTAACCGCCACCATATCATCATCCGAGTGTTCCTCTAACTCGGTCTCACCCTCCGACACGATTCTATCATCCTCATCATCATCATCACCCCCATTTCCTTCGGAGTCTGACTGATCGTCCGACTCTGAACCACTGAGCGGCTCCTGGTCGGAGGAGGACGGGGATTCTCCACGACGAAAGGCGGGCGTCATGCGGCGAGGGGTGGCGGCAGGAGGAGAAGCGGAGCGAGAACCGGCAGGAGGGGAAGCAGAGCGAGAACCGGCAGGAGGGGAAGCAGAGCGAGAACCAGGAGGAGGAGAAGCAGAGGGAGAACCAGGAGGAGGAGAAGCAGAGGAAGACCCAGCGGAGGGACTGGCGGGAGGAGAAGCAGAGTGAGGAGGCGAGGCGGCGCCAGACGGTTCCCCCAGAGAAAGAGTGCCGAGGCCAAGAGAGGAAACTTGGCGAGACCTATCACCGAAGGAAACTGAACGTCAGCCAAGTGCGGCGAGGTGCGGTAAGTACCGAGGAAGAACTCACGAGCAGACGACACCATACCACCAAAGTTCCTCATGGCGGCGAAAGGGGTGGAGGTGGGAGTAGGGGGGGCCATGACGTTAAAGATACTTAAAGAAATAAAAGGTGATAGGTCAAGGTAACAAATCCGTTTTCTAAATGCGAGAAATAGAAAGTTTTGAAAACAGATGGGGAAGAGAGAGAAGCTCGATGAACTGCTCAGTACTTAGTATAACTCGACTCACCCCCTTCGTCGTCAACATGCGGCATCCTTCGCGTTTCATCAACAAAAGGCAACACAGGGACGATCAAAATTCCCACGCTATAGTGTCTCATCTCAAGATAAACAAGGGTTACTTCGACAAACAACGGTGTTGTTCGGCTACCGTCTGGGAAACGTGTCTCACCTACAAAAGACACAGGGGCTCTTACGGCAGACCTCGACGAAGTTAGGGGAGTCTCACTCTCGGGTTTCAAAGTGGAAGGAGGCTCAACTACGAAGTACGGCGCGGGGAGCAGAAGGACGAGGGATAGAATTGGAGGAAGATAGGATGGAGGTACTGCGCTGCTAAGTTTTCTTCCCACAGTACGGGTGTAATCGCTCACGAGGACGTTCGCGGCTAAAGAAGGGGGCGACTGTCACGAACTACGTCGTGACACCTCGATTATTCCACCAACAACGACCCTCCTTTGACCATCAAAACCCCATCACGACTCAAACCTCTTTACTCTACACGTAACTCAGGACCTCTGAGACCAAGTACGGCGAAGTTAGATGAAGTTAGGGTAAATTGTACCGGCCATCGACCGAGCGGCGATGTTA